TGTGTGTGTGTGTGTGTGTTGTTATGTGTGTGTGTGTGTGTGTGTGTGTGTGTGTGTATATATATATATATATATATATATATGTCACCACTGTGACATCAATTGTGCAACTGTTACATATGTTTTACACAGTACCCATTGGATACTAACTAGCACAAAGTGATACAAGCAAGATCATGTTTGGCCTTTGAGTAAGATAGGGAGACTCCACTCTCCAAATGTAAGACATTAGGTGGAGAGACAATATGTAAAAATCTGGACCAACGGTTGTACACCTTAGTTCATAAACAGATAGTTTAAAAACATTTATTTCTGAAAAAGGTCATTATCCTATCAATAACATCATCTTCATTAGTCATGGTATATTAACTACTATATCAGTTAATTGCATGACTGCTAAATCCAATACAGTCTCTCCTCCTTTAGCGACCACAATGCATTCCAGCGAAATGATCTTTAAATGAAATTGTCACTAAGTGAACATATGACACATACACATACACAGAGAGAGAGAGACACTGTGAAGTTTGCTGGTTGCTGTCGTCATTTAGATAAAGTTGTCTCATGGAGAAACACTAGTGTTAATTTCACTCCAGCATGCATTGTTGTGAGGCACAGAAATTTGGATGTAACTCTGCACATAGGTATAAAATGACTTTTTTACCAGCATTTACTAACATATTACCATCATATTTGGAAACAGTCAGTTACTGAGATAGTTGCTAAAGTAGGAGGGGCTGTAAACCATCCTCCTCAGGAATTTTTGTTTCCTTCCTTTATTCTTTAAATGAGAATGTGTTGAAAAAATGCTATTGTGATTCAGCCAGACCCATCCTACTTCCCCACCAACCCCTTTCTTTTAAAAAAACCTTCTCTTGAGGAACACAGTGCTTAAATTCAAACAGGCTATAGAATCCACCATGACATCCTTCAAGTTGCTAGAGTCAAGGAGAACATGCTAATCCCTTTCATAAGGACAGACTGACATTCTTACACCCCAAGTGCCATCTTGATGTTCTCCTTCTGGCAATTGTGTCTGTGATGTTTAAGAAGTCAGTTCATAAACTTTAGTTGGAATCCAACATGACCTGTCAGAAGCATCTCTACTTATAGTTTTGCTTTTTCTCTGGGAATTTAGAATTAATTTCTCTGGGAATTTAGAATTAAATTCTCTGGGAATTTAGAACAAATTGCTCAGACAACTTCTACATGATTTTCAAAGCTCCTATTAATTGTTTACAAGTAGGATTTCAGATCTTTCAGATATTTTTTGCATCAACTTTTTTTTTTTGAGTACCCAACATCACAAGATCTTATATCAAATTTAATATGCATATTCATAATGTACATACATGCGTGTATTGTAAATGAGCATATGGGTAACATCATGTCTTTGGGCAAAATATCAAGAATGACCACCTTTCTTTAAGCAATGTCTTGTCATTAACCTGATGGAGATGGTCTGTGATATCTCAAATATTTCATTATGGGGTAAAATTTAGAATGTGTTAGTCTCACAGCTCCACTTGAATCTGGATGAAGCTAATTTTCTTGACCCACTTCAATCAGTATTTCAGCTAGATGTGATACTGAGACCGTTTAGATCATGTTGGTGGAGGCCAATGTCAGACCTAGATGGGGGGAGTGTGATCCTGATAGTACTGTCAGATTTCCTTCACCTTTCAGATCAATTGACAATAGTATCCTTCTGAGTGATCTGGCAATTGTTCAACCAGTTTTCTGGCAGGGTTGTGCCTTAGGTTTATGTCCTTCCATAAGTAGGTCATGGGGAACCACTGTTTGACACCAAAGTGATTAACCTAGGGTGAGCCACAGGGTTCTGTCTTGTCTCCTGTGCTGTTTACCATCTACTTGAAACTGTTGGGAGAACAGAGATTGACAGTACATTGATGACACCCAGCTCTATTCTCACTACTTTCTAACTTCAAGAAAGCAATCAGAAGCCTTGGAGACATTGTTATCTCATTAATGGATTGGATGAGGGAAAACAGGCTTTAATTAAATCTATACATGGCAGACATCCTGTTAGTAAAAAAAAACAAAAAAAAATGTAGATTCTGTAATAAGTTGAAGTATGTTCTGGATGGGATTGTACTCCTGCAGAAAGAGCAGTCTGTGAGCGCTGTTGACCTTCACCAGCAACTGGATTTGAAGATGGTGACTATGATGAATAGTGCAGTTGAACAATTATGGCTAAAGTACCAATTGTGACCCTTAGGATTTAAAATGTGCAGATGTGTTCTCCATGGAGGAGTGCTAACTTCGAGAACCAATGTTGATATTAATAACTAAACTGATGAAAAGACAGACTGCAGCAGTTTATTGAAGGGGAGATTAAGGCATCAGTTATTGTTGCCAGGGTTTCCTACTCCAGGAAAGAGCACAAGTAGAAATCAACCAAAAGTAAGCAAAGGCTTTTCTAGACATAGCCTCCACCTGTTGAGTAGGAGGAGGTATGTGACTTGGAGGCAGACGGCAGTACTATAAACTAGAACAGGGTTTCCCAAACAGCGGTGCTGATACACCCAGAGGGTGTGAGATGAAATTTCAGGGGGTGTAACAATTTTATGCACTGAGTTACAAGTTTGTTTTTTTAAGTTCAATTTGTTCACCTGCATTAGAAATGGGACTTCTTCATCTTCAAATGTGATATGACTTTTGTAGGGGGTGTGGACATTAATTAAACATCCCCTAGGGGTGTGGGGGATAGAAAATTTTGGGAAGCACTGATCTAGAAGAATCCTCAAGTCACATGCCTATTCCTCCAGGGAG